TAATGTCACGCCAGATCTCTTTATACTTATTCAGATGAGAGCTTCGGATAAATTTGAAATAAAAATGTCCCTAATTAAATAAATCGGTAGCATATATAGATGAAGAATCTGTATAAACTTCTACATAAATGGAGCCAATTGAGTAAAGTTGACTACATCTTAGAATAGTATTACTTATTTATTATCTTTCCGTACTTGGCTCCTGAGGTACAGGTTTCAACGGATTGCTAAAATTTAATCAGGCATATATAATAAAATATCCCTAATTATTGTAAATACCATTTTAGAATGTAGGCATTATGCAAAATCCCCACACTCTTGTACTTTGAATAGATCGTAAACATATGCTACTGCTGGTGAAGTGTTTGTGATATGCAGATCTTACCTACTTTATCAGTGATTTTTATGCCTATATATCGGTGAACACTTAATAAAAAGTCTTTGGAATAAAATTATGATTGGTAATGGCCATTTGTAAATCTGAATAGCTGAAACTTAAGATCTCACACTTTAGCACATCTGACTAATTCATAGTTGGCCTCATTGCGAATGCCTAAATTTTTTATGAAACTATTATATCTCATTATTATTTTTCTTTCTGACTAGACAATCGAACCGAAACTGCCCACATTCCCAAACTGGTTTATTGGCTTTTCCGATCCTGTACCACCAGAGCCAATTCGCACTACAACTCTCGGCATGCACGTTCAGTCTACACCGCCTGTTACGTTTAATCCCCTTTCTGTTCCCGATTCCGTGGTGGATGAGAAAGGTCCTCAGAGCAGAGTTGAACAGGTGGCTCGTAAGTTGGTCGGTTGGCTTCAGAAAAAGAGCTTCCTTCAAACAAATCAAAACAGCCTTCCCAACCCAAATTTTGCCACAACTACCGCAGCCACCAGCTTTCTTACTGATATCACCAAAGATGACATGTTTTCAACGCATTGGTGTGGCGAGGAGGCGACTTGTTACAGAACAGTGCATCAGCTGAGATCTCCAACGTACACACGCAACCTCATCATGACTGACCGTACGTATGCTGTGCTAGTACGCAGTCTCAATGACAGCCGATACTTCGGATATAAGTTTTATACTCCGTACCGTCTAATGCATTATGCACGTGAGTCATTGCTGCATAGTTGGCGTTCCTTTTTAGAGCTTTTAATGAGTTTGAATATGTTTAAATGTTGTAAACATTAGACATTTTACCGAGAAATCATTGTAAGATGAATTTTTTTCACTATTTTCTGGAAGTTATAGCTAGTAGAGAGAGACAATTTAAAGAAATATATGAAATATGCCAACAAATAAGGCCTTACATTATAATTTCTTGCTCATTCACAATTAAGTAGTCAAGGTCGACATCATAAAGTTAATGATAATAATAAGTTTTCGTCTAACTCACCTATATTATTTGGACTAGGAAGTGTCAAGTATGATAAAAACTTTACAACTCCCTATAAGGGTCAATTAATATTTATTGTACGAAGCTAATAATATTGATATAGGTAAACAACTAATTAAACAGGGCAGAATTTGACGACTCTAATAGGTTCCTGATTAACCTATCGACACTAGAGGAGCCTAGATTTAGTGGCCATAAAATCAACGTTTTATGCATATTTAAATCATAAAGCTACGGATAAGACTGAAAAAGAGAGAGGAGAAAAACTAATTGAAAAAAAGACTGCTTTGGGCTCTGGCAGCGTTGTATGGCTGCGTAAATACCTTCTAAACTATCTTGACGCATTTAGTAAATCGGAAAAGCTACCCGTCAGAGACCTCATTTAGATCAAAATTACTACCATTAGGACGTGGAAGGATTGCATCCGGTTGACACATCTGCCTTATTGTCCTTATAGGATATTGCTAACCAATGCTATTTCAATCGCACAAAATCCTCCTAAGAATAAAAATAAAACAGCTCAGCATGGATTATTCGGGCTAGAATAATTTGTGTTGAAATCTAATCATCTTAATGAAAAAATAAAATCCAAACTAATCTTCCATGGAGTAAGGTTAAGCCCAATTTTCGAGCCCCTTTCACGCAACCTTACATATTACCTCAAAACTCCGGGTAAATTCATAATATTTATTCGCTTATTGTGTTCGGAATTGAAGGTTGTTCTGTACATATTGAGACGAAGGTAATTCTTCCATTCCTTAATGAATTTAATTAGAGCTCCAAAAGTCCTTTCTGAGTTTCGTACTCAGCCTAAATAAAAAGTTCTTCTCCATCGATATTTAGCCAGGATAGGTGCAAATTTATCTATAATTTAATAATAGAAATATATTTGCCTTGCAATGTTTGAGGGCCGACTTATCTCCTTCTGCCCTTGCACGTCCTTGATTCAACTCCGTTGCTAATATCATTGAGACCTGGAAGAAAACTTTGCTAAAAATGTAGGGTGAAATTAACTTTTGCATAAAAAGTCTCACCAAAGATGGCTAAACGTGATAAGAGCACGAATAGCTGAGATTACCACAAAGAAATGAGGTTTACCAAACTGCTTTTTATCCTATCTGATCTTCAGATTAGATGCTTCATGGGTCTCATAAGCAGTCGCAAAGGGACTCGAAATTGTACTGCTCACGTAAATTAGCAAAACATTACCATTCAGGTGATGCAGCCACCTGAACCAGAAGGTCACACAACAGAAATACTTCTAAATCAAGCTAGTTATTTTTCAATTCGCATTTCAATTGAGATTAATGCTGAAGATATTTCGCTATTGTCATAGTGAATATGTTCTAAAAGTTCCTTTATGGAAACTTGTTTATTATAATGAAAAATAATATCATTCTGAAGCATTCCCGCTACTTTAGTGTGGGTGCCTTACATTGCGAGAAATAGGTAACAAATAATGCACCCTCAATCTATGTTAAGTTATGCCTCTCTTGGCGTGATAGAATAACTGGTGAAAGGTGGCATGGAGTGCCCTAAGATGGTGTACAATTGTGCTATTTTTGAGCCCAAAATTGAGAGATATGAATAACAAAGGAAATATGAGTTTATATCCAACGGCCTAATTTATCCAGTCTTATGGCCAATACACAGATTCTGGTTAATAATTCATAAGGCAGTTCTGCATGGGACGTCCCTTCATTGCATATGCTAATAAATTCAATCGAGGGGAAAAACATGAGTCTTATACAAAGCAGCTAATAATCGTGACTATAATTTGCCATGGGAATTGCATGTTGATTACAGGTAGACATATTGAGCGAGTATGGTACAAGAGCACACCCAATTACCATTTTTAACTTCCTCAGAAGGCCGTAGCTTTATGTCGAAACGACAAGAGAGATTTAGTTTATAATAAAAGACTTAATATAAAATAGCATTTACTTAAAAATAGCTCTAACACGATACTTTAAAGTAAGGGATAATTTTTTCCATAGGACTCTGCTCCGAAATTTGTCTTACTCACATTGGCCAATACATAAACTTGCTAAAATATCTCCTTGAGCTTACTAAATTATTTGGTAAAATAACCAGACATGGTTATAAAGCAGTGTGAGTTAATAGTAAAGTGCTTGCCACTGAATACACGCACAACACACAAGCTAGACCTAGAAGCCTAGAGAACTGAGGTGGGAAGTTAGGAGTAAACTCGATGATGAATACAGCAGGACTTTAGAAGACAGCAGACGTGAGAACCACGTTATTTGAAGTCTCCTTAAAATACAAGTGAGTTACTTTTACGAGGCTAGGCTAAGTCCATACATCGAAAGGAAAGTATGAAATATCCAAAGGAACCTCGTAGGAAAAATTGCCAAAATATGAACAGCACGAAGTAACGTGTCATTATGCCTTGCAGCCAAGTGTGATTTTACTAGACGTTTCATCCACATTTCCTTTTCAACATCTACTCAAAGATTATTTCTATTCATAATTAGCCTTATTGTCTTCTTTGGATTTTAACGTTAGTAA